ATCAATAAATAGAAGCAATCATTTATTTGTTTTTAATCCTCAAGGGACTAGACTTTGGTTTTCTCATTGTTGTATCATCAGCCTCTAATATGGTGCTTAGCATAGAGCAGGCACCCAGTAAATAACTCCTGTATAGGCATATTGGTATCAAGAATAGTAATTCCATGTGATTATTCCAATTGTTAAAAGGAGTGAGTGGGCTTGAAAAATAGTGTCTCCTTTTATATCATTGGCTATTGTTCTATATAAAACTATGAAATATTCAAGTAGCCAAAACTTGTAAAGAACTGTCAGTGTATGGAGAAGGACAAGATGGGGTTTCTTATTTAAAAATTGTTCATAATCTAGAGCCAATGAAGGGGTTCCAGGAAATCAGGCTCCTCCTCTCCCCTAAAAAATGGAGTGTACAGGATTGTGAATATACATAATTCTGGGGAGAAGATTCAGAGTCTTCATTCTATGCCAAAGTGGTCTGTGACCTGAAAGGGTTTAAGAACCTCTGCTGAACAGTCAGGTAGGAGACTTAAACATTTGATCTACACAGCATCCAAACTCAGAGGAAAAGTTCACATCAGTGGAAAAGTTTTCTCCTCTTTAGAAATGAAAAAGCATGGTCCTCGTATTTCCTTGGTGTTTATTTACAGAGCTAGATAAACTGTCTGTAACCTTACATGTTTATAGGAAGAGACAAATTTATAATCATCCCACTGAACAGACATCAGTGTAGTAATTAAATCAGCAATAGATCTCTCTCAAAGTTAAAGCACACACGCACACACACACACACACACAGTCTTTTTTTTCCTTATTCCTTATTTGGATTTCTCTATTACCCTGTGTATGTTGGTTTGGTCAGTACACTTATATCTAAGTACATATTTGTTTATGATGGAACATGAGATTAGTCAAAATTTGTAGATGCCAACAATATTAAAAAAAATAAACTTTTACCTTTTTGATTTAACTAAATCTGTCCCTCTGCAAATCCAAAATACCCTTTTTAAAACTGGAATGGTTCATGATACTGAATTTAGTCAGTCAAAGTGAAATCTTACTTACCCCTAAAGTAAGACAATCTGCTGCGGAGACTTTTGCTTTCCCACATGCCATACTACTGGCATTTCCTCTAGATGATTTTGTCTTTAACCTTTGGTGTTATCTTAATTAGCAAACTTCTAGAAAACAATATAAAACACATATACATGATTTTTCTCCAAAGAAAATATATAAATTTGATTCTTTCCTTAATGTTTGCCAACCACTTTCCCACATTCAGAAGCAATAGCTTACTTCTTTCTATGCCTGAATTCTTAGAGGCATCAGTTCACATTCACCTGTTGTGAATAACAGCAGAAGGCACAACCAAGATCAATCACTCTGTTAGGCTGTTGTGAATAACAGGCTAACTGAAAAGCCTCTCTCTATGACTAAAAAATAATTGATATGTTACAGAGACCATCTCTGAGTAATAAACAGTTTCTCTAGATGATAAAGTATAAAGAACACCTGGGGAATAGTATTAGAGAATTTTCAGTAAAGCTTTCAACAATTTATTTGCAATTCGTAATGCCATATTTCCATTTTCAAAACAAAGTTTCTGTACTTAAATTCACCAAAAACGTGGGCTTGTGGGTTTTTTTCCTGACACATACCTGCTATCTACTTCTTTCTATATGAAAAGAACCTTTTCTTAGACAACTTATCAAAGTTGCTTGTGAAATCCTAACGGCACCTCTTGTTTTGTTTTTTACCCTTTTGATTTAACTAAATCTACTCCTCTCCAGATGCAAAATATCTGCATTTCTCCCTGATGTTTAGATCATCTTCATATTTATTTCAAGATAAAAACTTGGCTAATAATTATATCCCCTTGTGGATTGTATCTCTTTGTAGATCTGAAATTCTCCATCTGCTAGTATGTCAATAACATGAGTCTTGCCACCTGACTGATGATATTAAAATCTGAGGCTTGATCTTTTCAGAAAGGAGTTTGACTAAATGACCTCTCATTCCCTGCACTCTTCAAATCTCATTATTTGATTATTTTAATGAGTCTTTGGTTTCTAAAATTTGTTTTATCAATGTCTCTTAATTCCATAAAGCATAGAGACAGAAAAAGCTAGAAAAGAATGCAAGAGTTAGTGATAGCAAAAGAGAGAAAACAATGTTAGTAACTGAAGTAAGCTTTACCCATTCAAACACCATCTTTGAGAAATAGCAAAGAAGGCACAACCAAGATCAATCACTCTGTTATTATTAAATAAAAAGCCATACAATTATAAAATTCATTTAGAGTAATGAGGAAAAGCTATACATAGATTGCTATTATTTGTCACTTTTCACAAAACAGGAAAATAAAAAGAAGCCCTTTTGTGGATACTGTCTGCTGGCTGTTTCCAGGAATTCAACCAATTGCAGACTGAAAATATTAAAAACACACACACACAATATGGCAAAAATAATACTAATTAAATAAACAATAAAACAACTATTTACACAGCATGTGCATTGTGTTAGGTATTATAAGTAATCTAGAGATGATTTAAAGTATATGGGAGAATGTGTGTAGGTTACATGCAAATCTTATGCCATTTTATATCAGGGACTTAAGTATCCTTGGATCTTGGTATCCATGGGGGTTCTGGAACCAATCTCCAGCAGATATGAAGGAACAACTGTAGAAAAATTCTTTTCACATTTGTAGCTATCATGAAGTGACTTAGGGAGTAGAATATTTAGCATAACTATGTATCTCCATCAGGCCCACCAAAACCATCCCAGGTGAAATATTCATAAAAAATGCTAATCAGAAAGAGAAAGGGAGGGTGTGTTTAAAATCCTCAGCTTGATTGATGGAAGAAATGAAGAAATACTCCAACATATTCCTGGAATAACTGATGGCTGGAATTCTTTTTTAAAAATATCCTGCATTTGGCTACTTTATATCCACTTAAGCATCCCGCTTTTTGTAAAAATCAATCAATAAATAGAAGCAATCATTTATTTGTTTTTCTTTTCTTTTTTTTTTTTTGGTTTGTTTTTATTTTCTGAGGTGATCCCATCACTAATCCAAAAGCAGCTACAGGACGAGTCCCCTAGCCCTTATTCCCAAACCCATTGTTACTCCCTAACCTTTACACAGAAATTCTCTAACAGTCACAGAAAACTCATGTCTAGAAACCACTTTTCTATCTTTAGCGTCTTCAGCAGGGATGCAACCCCCTGACTGTCTTCAGGTAAAGTCCAAATTCTTTAGTAGGGCATATAGGGCCCTTTCTGAACTGCTCCCTGCGCACGTTCTCAACTTCATTCTGGCCACTCTTCCGTTTGGGGACGCCTGCCGTGACTCACCAGACTAGTGGATACCCCACTCCTTGTTCCCCCAACATCCTGTGGATAATTGCTATCACAATGTATTCTAACTTTCGATTTTCAGGACTGGCTCTCAAGCGAATGTTAGTTTCCAGAAGTCAAGGAATTCATTTCTGTACGTCCAGGGCCAATCCCGGGCTGGGGCGCAGAGACTCGATATTTGATGAAATCAAGAACGGGAGGATGGTGGGTGGGTGAGACCCAGACCCTGCCAGGCAGGGAGGAGGAAAAGAACGGGGCGGGCGGGGGGAGGGGCACCATATTCAGCCCCCACGCCCCTTTATGACTTTTGAAGAAATCACTTAAGCAAAGCGACGTCATTACCCTGCATTTTACTTGTTCACGGTCCCAAGGATCGAGTTCTGCCCCCTCAGGTCCAGGCCTAGGCTAAGGGGGTCCCCCGCGCGGGCAGGTCACCCTGCCACGGGGACGATCACCCAGCCTAGATCTTCACGCCAGATCTCCCGACCCTGCTGAGCGACCATCACAGAGGAAGCCGGGACCCTAGCGCCCAGCCGCCCCTCAGGGTCCGAGGGCGGTGACGGTCTCCAACGGCAGCGGCGGCCTCCTCGTGCGCCTGCGCGCCCGCTCTGGGTGGGGCTGCGGGAGAGCGTACGCGCAGACTCACTAGGGCTTTGCCAGCCACGTGATCAGGCTTCTTTTAGGTATCTCTAGAAATGGCTTTTGTAAACCTAGTTTCTGAGATTGCCCTTATAGGTGCGTTTCTTATACACACGCCCACTGTAGAGTGACTAGGATCACTGATGAAAAGTCAGTACTTCACCTTTTCTTTTCTTCACCTTCACAAAGAAAAATTTGGGCCACACGTGCACTTTATTTTTATTTTTTTCTTTTGAGACAGAGTCTCGCTTTTGTTGCCCAGGCTAGAGTGAGTGCCGTGGCGTCAGCCTAGCTCACAGCAACCTCAAACTCCTGGGCTCAAGCGATCCTCCTGCCTCAGCTGCCTCCCGAGTAGCTGGGACTACAGGTGCGAGGCACCACGCCTGGCTAATTTTTTATTTCTATTTTTAGTTGACTTGCTAATTTTTTCTATTTTTAGTAGAGACGGGATCGTGCTCTTGCTCAGAGCTGGTCTCGAACTCCTGAGCTCAAGGAGTCCTCCCGCCTCGACCTCCCAGAGTGCTAGCACACTGCACTTTAAATGGTCTGAATATTTGAAAAGGGCAAATAGCTGAGTCAATGGCTCACTTTTTTCCCCCCTTTAAACATAAGTAACAAAAAAAGGAAATTAATGAAGAGTAATATTTAGCAAGGTGCAAGAATGACTTTTAGATCCATTTGCTGAGATGGTTTACCTTTCAAGTTATACATGGCCTTAGTTTTTCTATTTGATGTAGACAGTAGTTAAAACAATGTTTACGAAGAGTGTGTAAAGAAGTAGAGGTAGCAGCTAGAATCATATCTGAGAAGGAGGTTGAGGAAGTGGGGAAAAAACTCCTCAAGCAAACAATGTAATCTTTAACTGACAAGTACAGACCATCCTGTTAATGCAACTATTATGCCTTACTGAGGTGTTAAAGAATCTGGAGAGCAGATATGTCATGAATATCATGAATATCATGAATATCATGAATTCTCATTTATTCCTGTAAAATTTAAATTGCTATTGCAGAAAGGTTAAAATTCTACAAATACTTAGTGAATGATAACCAGTGAGTAAAACATTGAGAAAACAAAACCGATTTTCCTTTAAAAAATAAGGAAATTTTATAGTGCCTCCATCACCTTTATTTGCAAAAGCTAAATTATGAGTGTGTCTTAAAGCCACCAAGAGCTTTTATGATTTTTTTAGAGCCTGAAAAATCAAACTGAGCGAATTTATTTTTAGCCTCACAGCTAACTTCCTTACATTGGGACACCAAAGTCCCCTCAAATAAAAGAAAACAAATGCCCAGGCTCTTTTAAAGTCTTTATATTTTGTATTGATCAGTATATCATTAAGGGTATTAGTTTTATTCTTAAGTAATACAGCACTTCAGTTTCTAACGTTAATCTTCTTTTCGATTTACTTATTAGCAGAGAGGGTACTAAGCAGTATTAAGCATTCTGTCTGCTATAGAAAGAGGAACCCACTTGAGTGTGTTTTCAACCTCAAGGTTGTAGATTTAGGAGAATCATAGTAGAAAGAGCCAGTTGTGATGAGATGGACCCTCACTGTAACTTGCTACCAAGACTGGTTGATTGTGAAAGAAGTGATATATCTTTTCATTTAAGATATAGTTAACAGTCTCTGGAAATTATCTTGGATTTGACATTTTCTTGGACAGGGACAAGATTCCGTATACAGTATGAGCATAGGCAAGAATAGAAGAGTTAGCCAAACTATGAGACAGGCACAGATCCTTGGCACTTCTTAATTCCTCTGATAATATCACAGATCCATAAACCAACATTGATTTTTCCCTAATGCCTACAACCTGGATTTGGAAATTCAGAATTCGCTTCATTTTAATTTTTTTTTCTTTGGTTGTTAAAAATTCTGTAGCTTCCAACAATGAAAAGGCAACCAATAATGGTTTGACATCCAATATGACTTACTTTTTAATCTTTGTCATCTTAAATATTTCTCCATGTTGTTAATTTCCCTTGAATTGGTTCCCAGGATACAAAAGATGTCAAGAGAAAAATGTGCTGGAACCACCGTGCCTCATATAATGTTAAAACCATTGGTGGGGTCATTAAGAGGACCTTGTTGGTTGTAAACCCTGATAAAATAACTTGTCCAAATTGCTATAAGGAAATTTCCTTTTATAGGGGAGAAAACAATTGTTCCCTCTGTATAAACACCAGGGTGTTCTAATAAGAAAAATGGAAATAAATCTATGTGGACTGTGGAAACTAAGCAATGGGATTTATTCTAGAAATGCAATATGTATATTTATATAATGTATAATCTGTATATATGTATACATATAGAAGTATGCATATATACATATGCAGTAGATTTCAGTTCTCATTTACTTATCATATCACTTAAATACTATTATTTAATAAAATGCTAATTAATAGTTTAAAATTATTATTATATATTTTTTTGTATTTACTATACCAAGGTGGTATGTTCAGTGTCTTACATTGCTTATTTTATTTAAACTTCACAACACTGCTATGATTGTTATTTTCATTTTAACAGATGAGAATACTGAGGCTTAAGGAAATTAAGGGTCTTGCCCATGGTCACATAGCTTATGAATGTTAGAGTTGAGATTCTAACTCCAGTAATGTAAATCTAGTTCCAGAATCTGTACCCTGTCCCCCAATTTTTTTCCTCTAAGCTTCCTTCAGGAAGGGCTCTGCTTTGTGACTGTCCTGGAATTGCATAGAGAATACTGTTAAAGAAATCACAAGGTCTAGGGATGGTTTCCAGCTCCAGTTCTGGCTGTGTGTACTCCACTGTACTACTCTCTGACTTCATTTCTCATATGTAAAATTAGGGTCTTTAACTAGACATTTGCAGCATTGTTTGAAGTGACATTGGTCTACAAGTCTATATTATATTCTCAAGTGTTACTAAATATTTGGGAGAGTAGGAAGAGTTGTGAAATATAAAGTCAAATTGTGAATAAGGCTTAAACTGGGTAGAGACCCCCTGGGAGCATGTGTGGAGAAAGAGATTGACTGATGCCCCTTGAGCACTGCTGAGCTGGTAGAATTGAGTAAACAGCTATTGGTTTTTAACAGTGAAGCCAGGAGATGAGGAGTGGAGATGAGGGGAGTTAGGAAAGAAGAGCAAACAGTTAAACGTTATAAACTGCCTTAGAGAGAATAGCCCAGAGAGAGGATGACTTTGTTTTAAATGCAAAATGAAGGCAGAAGGGCAAAAATCAGCCAGTTTTCAAAAAACACTGATGTATACATACAAGTCCTCTCCAACCTGTGGGAATTATCAGGACACATTAGCTGTATGGCTAGATTTGCCTGGTTTGCATTCATATTTGCTAAAGAATGACCTCAGTTCTTTGTAAACACCCCCGCCGAAACCAAGTATTTCTGGGAATTCCCCAGAATTTTCACATGTGTTTTGCAGCAGGCCTCTGCTGAGCTTTTGCTGTCGGGTGCAGGGAGGCAGTTACTTTGCATCTATTTCATAGTCTTGTCAGGCTGTGCTGCAGCTTCTCTAGAACAAGGCTGCCTTGCCCCAGGTGTTTCTCCCAGGGCCCCCCAAGCTCCAGAGCTTTGGAGGTATTCAAACAGCCTTGCACTTTCTTCAGTCTTCCTTATGGAGCACAAATGCACAAATCAGGAGCATACCCCTTTCTCCAGAGGCGTCAGACCTGGTCACTGAGGCCAGTCAGGCAACTGGACTCCATTTCCTGGTCTCTCAGCTTCAACTTCAGATACCTGAACTCAAAATTTCCACAGGATCTTTTCCTTGATCACTTCTGTAAATAGATGCCTGGGGACCCTCTGCACCCTATTCCTGGTCATTCAGACTCAGTTGGCCAGCATCTACTCCATGGGAAAAGGGGACAACCGTGATTGATTGATTGATTGATTGATTGTTAAAGGGTTATGACAAATGCAAACTTGCTCTGGGAAAGAGAGCTTTCAGAAATGTTGTGTTGGCCAGGAATGAATCAATGATATGTACGTACCTAAGATACACTGATGGATTCTGGAGAGATAACTAACTCTTGAACCCATACATTCCGTGATGAATTACTGACCTTCTATAAAGCCTTAAAATTTAGAATTAGGAGACACTGTAGAACCCTAGAGATCTAATACTCACCTGTGTTCTTTTGAGGAGGGAAGAGACTAAAATAAATATAGGATGCACTTCGGTTTTGTGTGTGTGTGTGTGGTCATGTGTGTAGATTAAGTCAATATTTCTTAGGCAAAGTCTTTGTACTCAAATCCACCATCATTAATTACTTGTACATGAAAACATGTGTGCATTGGCATTTAGATAATTCCCACTCCATTACATTTTATATTATCCCAAATGAAAAATTTTGTAAAGCCTAAATTTTATGCAATAGCTTAGCATGGTGTTTGGCCACAAAGTAGTAGTGTAATACTTTTCTTTTAAGCAAATAGATAAGTAAATGAGCACTTTTTTAGATTTACAGAATGAAAATACCATAAGGACTTTAAACAGTAACACATTAGTAGTAGGCATGTGACCCATAAGCTAGAATATACCTTTTTAGGTCTCAGAATACAGGTATATTTTTAGAAAGCTTAGAAGACTTAAACTTTAAAATCAAACTTACTTGATTTTATTTTTCACAGGAAGGCTAACACTTAGATCATATAAGCTTCCAAGGAACAGAATTTTTGACTGTTTTTCTCAAGCACACATAACACTGTCCTGTACAGAGTAGGAACTCAATAAATATTTGTTGAACGAATGAATGAATAGCATTCCTAGTTGAATAAAAACATGATTGCATTGGTTCGAATGAATCCATTATGTAAGAATTTTATGCTTGCAGTATTGTTTAAATGGATAAAATATTTTTCATACTCTAAAGAGCCTCAAATAAAAATTTTAGATGGTTGAAACCCAACTCTGTTAGCATCATTTGTCTATCCAGTAAAAAGAGAAGTTAGGGAGGGAAGCAATTGATACTCTAGATAGTTAGGGGCTCCTCAGTGTAATTAAAAGGTAACAGTAACTTTCAGGAAGCAAAAGTTGAAAGTAGGCAGTTGATTGTTAGGGGCACCAAACCCCTAACCCTGGATGTAATCAAATTAGTTACCTATTTAGATATTAATAGATACTTTCTCTGGATCCATATGTGAGCAGCCAAGCCCTGCTGGAACAATCTGTTCATACTATAAATTTGTTATCATTCCCTCAAAATGCCCTCAGTACAGCCTGACAGTCTTTATCTGTTTCTCTGATCAGTTTGTTCTCCCTTTCCACAACTTTCCCCACATTACCCATTCTGTTCACTAGTCTAACTCTACCCATTCCCCCCACCGTGGGCATGGCCTCACTGCTGCTTTGGCAGGGATGACAGGAGCTATCATATCAGACCCTTTGTAAGAACTCACTTCCATTATTGCAAACCTATGAGTATCTGCAATAATTACATCTTACTTTCTTTCTGTCATGTAGAGAAACTACCCTTCTTCATGACTTAGGCCGTGTCTTCCATCTGTACTTTTGATCTCTTGAAACTTATATTGTCGTTCATCCCGCCTCTCTTACTTGGGTTGTTCTCATTGCCTTTTAAATATGCAGGTATTTCAAAAACAAAAGGCTAAAACTCAAATCAAAACCCCTCAAGGCACCACCCTTGTCCTGCTATTGTCCCACTGCAAATGAGTTTAATGTACATGAAAATACTCTGTACCTTAATGTCATCAAACATCTTGCCTCTTGAATATCTACAAAGTTTTGCCCTACAACCAAAATGAAACCAAAATAAATTAAAAAAAAATACTAGAAACAGCTTATGTTCCTAATGACATTTTATTGAGGAAAAGGTAACGTGAACAAGAAAATTTCTAACTTTAAGAGAGTCGCAGAGTCATTTTTCAGTCCTCTGGTCCTTCACTTTTGCCAGTGTGTAGTAGTGGTATGTAGGGAGAGACAGTGACAGGGAGACAGAGTTATCATTAGGGACCAACCTAAGAATGGATCTCATCAAGGACAACGAAAACCATCTTCTTAAGTTTCTGCAGAGTGATTTTACCCATGAGATAAGACTGGTGCCCCTTTTTCTTTTAATACCTAGGAGCATAAGGTGGGTAGCCATCATATCTGGGAGGAGTGGAGGAAGACTCTGGTGGGAAGGGGTTGTTTGCATACACAGTTGGAGCTGGAATAACCAGGATGGCCTGGAAAGAATGAATAAAAACATGAAATATTGTTACTACAGCCCTAATGAGGTTCCCTTGGCCCCATCAGAGTCAAGGACAAAGCCCACTCTGGTAAGCCTATAGTGGGGATATAGCAGACACAGTCTGTATTTTCAAGCACATATTCACATTATTTTACAGAGAAGAGATCCAACTCACCCTGCTGGTGCTGGAGATTATTTGCTGGGCAAAATGGGCGGTGGCACAAGCTATACAGAACTCCAGGAGAGAGAAGATCATCAACATGGCTGAAATGCCTTTTCCAGAAACCTGAAACCAGAAATAAACGCAGTGAAATTTGGGCTAATCAGGAGGGCCTCACACGGGCTTCAAAAAGTTATTGACTCACCAAATGTGTGTTCATATTCAACTTGTTCCATGATTACTCCTTCATTATCATCAAATGCTTATCACAACGGAACATGAATTTACTCTGGATTTTTTAAAAATACCAGAAGACTTTCCTTTTGGCAAGTAGACTATTTCACTTAGAAATATTGGAAAGGTGGTAGATTTTTTTCCTCTGTAATGGCCTCTTTGTCTTTTTTAAAATGTTACCCACTCTTTAAAAAAAAATCACACAATATAGAAACCAACTAATCATTCCAAATGCCAAAATTAATATTTGATGACCATTATACTGATCTCTATGTATAGACAAAAAGGAGATAGAAGAACCAGATGCACAGAAAGATAGCACAAGAGAGGACAAGAAAAGACAGCAAGAGAGAAACATTCTCCAACAATGGAATCATGGTATTCCTATTCTAAAATAAAAGTATTAAGTTTACTTGAACTCTGTACATGCCTCCTATTTGACTGAATATAGTGTAGGTGAATTTTCCTTGGTTCACACTTCCGCTGGGTCCAATTTGTCTTCCTTGTTTTCATCTACAACTTGAGCACTAAATATTGTTTCATGTCCACTTTTCTGAATGTTAATCATGCAGCGGTCGCAGGGAGAGAGATAGCTTAGCAAGCACTAAGCACAGTTCTTGCTGGTGAACATGAATTTTGCTTTCTCTTTCTTCTGAGAGTCTGCTAAATGCCTGATCCCAAGGCTTGCTCCATGGCTGGAGGCAGATTCTATTCCTGTGGATTTCTACTCGTTCCCCCACACTGGCAAAGTGCACTGAAGGGGGTGCCCTTCCCTACTTCTCTTGAGGTCGTGGGTGCTACACACAGGCTTCTTCCATGCAGGGTTTGCTTTCTCCTTTCTCAGAATTGACTGCTCTCCACCTCAGGCTTCTCAGCTCCACATTGGAGAGTGTTAGTGAGACTTCTCTGTGTTTTTTGGCTTCCCTTGTTTCCTCAGTCTTGTTTCTGGGGAAATGGAGCCAGGGCTAGGACCTGTTTCCTTCTGCCACTTTGAGTCACATTGGAGTGATTTGTTTCTCTACTTGGATGCCAGTATAAAATCTGTTTTGTGAATAATTTTTGTTCTTTTGTTTGCTGTTTTAAAGGATGGATTCTGTGTTCTTGCTTCACTCTGCCTTAGTCACCAAGAGGCCCTGTTATCTATTCTTGCCTCCAAATCAGCTTTTCTTTACGCTGCAGAAAGAATGGTCCTTTCAAAACCCAAATGTGATGAAAGAGGGCAGCCTTGTCTGGTTCCGGTTCTAAGTGGGAATGGTTT